GATGTGGGTGTGGGTGAGCAGGTACTGCATGCATGACTCTAGGCCTTTCTCCTGCTGCCTGTACTTGTGGCTGAAATGCAGTGGTCTGGGCTCAGATTGAAAGATTGCAGGGACTCTTCAAGGCAGTCCAATGGGAGCCTGGGGTTTTGGAGCCCCTGGTAAAAAGCAAAGCTTGTTAATGGCTTGAAGCTGTTCAGGTCAGAGTTAGCTCGGTGTGCTTGCAGAAGACTCCGTTGGTGGCTGAGGTTTGTTGTGCTCTTTCATTTTGGAGCCTGGAACAGTGGTTTCTTTGTCTCATTGTCTCCTTGATTCCCAAACAAAGCATTCCAGAAAGTTTAGTCCTGATACCTCCTCCCATTGGAAGGGTGGGAGAACAGAGCATTCTCCTGGGGGTGTTTGTGATATTTGAAATTCCTAGGAAATCACAGTTGAGGACTCTAGGCCTATAGGAGAGCAGTGTGAGCGAAGTCACTGGAGACAGTCTGTGCTGCCTGTCTGCCTCCTATGTGCCTAGACAGAGAGAAGGGATGTTAGAGCTCAAGAGGTGCAGCTTTGTTGGAACATGGGTTAGTTCGTAAAGGAGTATGCTGAAAACCAAGCGATGATAACAGCTGTGCTTTCAGAAGCTTTCTAATAGCTTATCCAAAAGGATTAGAAGGTTGAAATATTTGCTTAATTGCCTGCTGTGGCTCTGAGGACTGACTTTGTCTCCTCAGATCAGATGAGGGGTGTGCAGCATTGCCAGTTCTGGTTGGCGCAGCAGCTAACTGCTATCAAATTTTAATGCTAATGGTGAAGGAGAACCTGATTATAGGAGGCCTTTTCTGCATGTTCATGTTGTGTATCTTTTAACTAATGCTGTATTAAACTGAATTACAATATGGAATAGTTTTCTCAACCTGGAAAGCTTGTCCTGTGCTTCAGCTAACAGAAGTTTCCCAGCAACTTTGACTTTGATTCTTCAGAATTAGCATAATGTTGCCACATCTTGGTTTGTACATTCTTAAGGCAGGAAATGGCTTCAATTGAATCTAAATATTAAAACCTGTTGAGATGATTATAGCTTTGACAATGTAAATCTTGAGTGCTGGCTGCCTGGCAGGAAATTTCTGAGCAAGAAGACCCTCCTGACTATTGTTTAGACTTTCTCAGGGTAGGTAAACATGGGGAGAAGTGTATCCAGGCCTGATGCCTTTCCCATCTCCCTTGCACGGAGGCTGTTGTCTGCTTGTCTGCTGACACATGTGCTTTCCCTGCCCCTGTGGGTACAGGGTGTGGTTTGTTTGGAGCTTACAAAGAATTCCTCATCTCTGGGTGTGGGGGGACTTTTTTCCATAATGTTCTGGCAAAACCATCTCTGCTGCTTTTCTGGTGGCACCACTGAATAGTTGCCATAGCCTAAAACAGCTGGAATTTCATCTTGTGTGAGCAGATGCCACCAAGTCCCCTTCTGGGGCTGGATAACATTTGGAACCCAGTAGCTGAATGCTGTGGAGAAAATCTTGAGGCAGAATAAAGTGACAGAGGATTTCTCCTCTTGCCTCAAGGTTTCTCGCCAGCATCGGTGACAATTTCTACCTGTTCTGTCTGCTGTCTGAGGTAGGCTGGAGGGCTGCTGCTCCTGGTAGTGAAGCCATCCCTGAGGAGTCCCACTTATACCAGGGGAGCAAACAAGAACCGAGATGTTTCTGTCACCAGTGCAGCCCTGTTCCTGTTATCGCAGTCTGCTGACAAGCTGCTGCTGGCTGCCATCAGCACTCTAAGCACCCTCTTAGCTGGTTCTTCTGTGAACAGCATTTAAATGGCACACTTAAAGTAATGGCAACCCATCCCTACTGATTCTAAAGCTGTCTGCTGGTGGGACCAAGACAGTACAGTAAAAGCTGCTGCACTGGGGACAACACTTGACTGCAGTTCCCCCAACGTCCTGCACCAGCTAGTGGCAATGTGCTTGGGTGCCCAGAAGCTCTAGGGGTGGCTCTGCCATGCTCCTGTAGCTGCAAAAAGTCCTGGACAACAAGTGGGATGGATGAAGAAGTGTGGGCAGTAAGGCAAGGGGGGGGGAAATCCTGCTGCTCTGTGCTGTGAGACCCCACCTGGAGTACTGTGTCCAGATGTGGAGTCCTCAGCACAGCAGAGACATGGAGCTGTTGGAGAGCATCCAGAGAAGAACCACAAAAATGATCCCAGGATGGAACACCTGTAAGTACAGACAGAGAGCTGGGGCTGTGCAGCATGGAGAGAAGGCTGTGAGGTGACCTGAGAGCAGCCTGTCAGTATCTAAAGGGGAGCGACAGGAAAGAAGAGGTCAGACTCTTCAGCAGGATCTGTGGTGACAGAACAAGATGGAAGGGTTTCAAGATCAAAGAGGATGGATTTAGGTTAGATATAAGTAAAGAGTCTTCTGCAGTGAGGGTGGTGAGGCACTGGAACAGGTTGCACAAAGATGTGGATGCCTCATCCGTGGAGACTTTAAGGTGAGCCTGGATCAGGCCCTTGGAAACCTGATGGAGCTGTGGTGTCCTTGTGCATTGCAGGGGAGCTGGGCTAGATGACTTTTAAAGATCCCTTCCAGCTCTAGAAATTCTGTGATTTATGGTGGGACTGGAGCATGTTCACTCATCCAAACAGGAGATACATGGGAAGTACTGCAGAGTAGCTATTGGTAATGTGCCAGATGGATGAATCCCTTTCCTAGCAGACAAGCAGTTGGGTTGTTGCACTTGGTGCTCTACTTACTGCCTGTACTTTGAAAGCTTGCAGTGTTCCTCATTTGATATGGGAATAAATGCTTCAGAATTACTTTTTTTTTTTTTTTTTTTTTTTTTTTTTGTACTTGAGAGGTCAGCAGATGCTAAAATAAGTCTGAATTGTCGAGCTTTGACATGGGCAGGAACAGACTTGGGTTAACATCCAGTCCCGTATGGGTTTTTAGCCATGTGTTTTTTGACTGGGTGTGACTTTGAGGAGGTGTTAAGATTCCCTGGATTCCTACAGTGGCATAGTTGAAAGCATCTGCAATGCAATCCTCTGATTGAGAGTGGTGTGTTATCGCTTAAAGCAAAGTGATGGCAAATGGAAAGGAATATTTGATATGATGCATAATCAGCTTGTGGGACCTATTTCTGCAGGGTATTCTAGAAACTGCTAGCTTGGAGGAAAAACTAATAAAATCTGCTTTCTTAAACACTGAAGATTAATGCTATTACTCTTGTTTCACTTACAAGTGGCTATAGCAGTGGATGAACAGAGGATGCTCACTGATTTCTTCTTAGAATAGCCTGACCCTGACTAGTGCAGCTTGACACTTCGTGGAGCATCAGTTGCTCCTGTAGCAGTAGGTAAGTTGACAGTGCTAGGTTAACATCCCCAGTGGAGAAGGGAAGCAGCCTGCAACATTGTGGCACTGGCTAATAATTTGTGTCTGGTTCACATTTGTGCCTCTAATTAATGTGTGCTGCCTTAGTCTCTCTATATAAAAGTTACAGTAGTGATGCTGAACACAGAGAGGCTCCAACATAACATGGTCAGTGCTCTGTGTAACATCACAGCAGCCAGCTCAGAACAGCACTCCTTGAAGTGCCTCTGGCTGTTCTGTCTGTGGCCTGGGATGGTCCTGCACAACTCTCACTCTTCACAAGGCCTCCCTAATGCATTTGGGGCTGCTGAGTCAAAGCTGCCCCAGATAAAAGCTGTAGTGGGAGGTCTGCACTAATGTTCTTCTAGCTCCTCAGTGAAGGAATCATCACTTCTGGATCACTGCAGTGTTCCTGTACAAGAAAGGAGGGATGGGGCTGCAGTAAGCACTGTTCCTGAGGGATATTCCTCATGGAAGGTAGGGCTCCAGGTGTCTTCAGTCACTTTCTCTCCTGCTTTGCAGCAGATCAGTGTGGTCTCTAACCTCCTGACTGACTGGTGATCTCAGCGCTAAGCTCTGCGTGTTTCTGCTCTGCACGGACAGTCACTGCGTGGGCACGTCCCAGGTTCTTTTGGGGGCAGGCACTCTGGCACGCTGAGGTGGGTGTGGGTGTGCAGCCATGCTGCGCTGGGTGATGCAGTGAACCCCGTGCTGTGGCACTGCTGCTCTCCCAGCCCCAGGTGCCTCCATGCCAATGTGCTCTCAGCTGCTTCTGCATCCCCTGGGCAAAAGCAGAGGAAGAACGGTGCATCTGAGTGTGGCTTCAGAGCCACGCTGAGCCTGTGTCCCTGTGGGATTCCACACACTTGTAGCATGGTTGTTTTGTTGTTTTTTTTTTTTTTTTTTTTTTTTTTTGTTTGGTGGGTCTAGGATGATGCTGGCTGTTCTGTAGCTGCTTGTTGACTTTTTCTGCACAGGCAGGCAGTTGGCTGCAATGTGATGGTGCTGTGGGCAGGAAGCACAACAGAAGCAGGAGCAGGGATGGAAGGTGGGTTTTCAGATATGGTGCTCCAGGCCCTTCATCATCTTTGTGGCCCTCTGCTGAACTCTTTCCAGGAAATTCCTGTCTTTTTTGTACTAGGGAGCCCAGAACTGGTCACAATACTCCAGGTAGGGGAGGGCTGTGCAGGTGGAGCCACGGCAGTGGGACCTGCAGGGCAGAATGAGCAACAGAAGGAATCGGATGGAGTGCCCACTGCCCAGCTGTATCAGACAAGCTGGCAGCATGGATACTTAGTCACCCCACTAAGTTGCTGCCCAGGAGCTCATCTAGGCACCGGTGACAGTTTTTAAGACTTTTGCTGCTTATTAGTGAATTAACAGCTTGAACATAAAATATTCCTGTACACTGCTACTCTGCCAGCTGGGTTGAAGAGCTGCCTGAGTCCACAATACAGATGGCAAGCTTGTTGGTGCAGGGCTGTGGAGCAGGGTGGAGTTGCATATAGCTGCTCTTTCTTGCTTTAAAAAGCCTGTGCTGAAATGACTTAGGGAGGGTGAGGAGAAGTTACAGTGTTGCTTCTAATACAAGTAGAAGCTCCAGTAACAGTTGCTGTAGATGTGTTTGGGAGGTCTGTGGCTTGCATTCTCTGCAGCATGTGTTGTCCTCACAGTAACATTAACTGTGCCCTGAAAGGAGGAGGTGACCAGATGGGTCAGAAGCCCAACTGTGAGAGATGCTGTATTTTTAAACCCCAGCATTCTTGGGTTGTGTCATCTGATGCCTCATGCCTCTCCTTAAATCCGTGACCTTCTGAAAGGCTTCCTTGCAAGAAAGGGGAGGAAAAAAAGCTGCTGTGCCCTGCCATCATAGCAGGTTTTGGTGTGTAAGTGCTTATTGTAACTTCTGAGTGTTGCTACAAAGTTTGAGTAGGAGCATCTCCAAAGTGCTCAAACCTGGTATGTTGAAAAATCCGAAGCTCCTTAAGGGGTCACAACCCTCAGCCTTTCTTTCCCTGGGTGAGTTTTCCATCTCCCTCTGCAGAGCACTGGGGCCTGGACATCCGGTCAGAAGTGGCCATTAAAGTGCCTTGCAGTCCTGAGTGGCAGTGCTGTGCCCTCCTGCCTGTCCATGCCTCACCTTGTGTGGCCCCTGGCCCAGCAGCACAGCTTCCCCTGACTGTTAACTCACTTCTCACCTGGGACCATCTCAGTCACAAATGAGCAGAGTACAGATGGTAGAACAGGCCATTTTGTGGTGAGCTTCTGGATGAAGGTTGTACCTTTAGTCAAGAAATACATAGCTAATACTCAAGGACAGCCTTTGGGTTCTGTATTTGCATGGTGGGGAGGAGCTCTTACTGTGGCTGTACTACTTTGAAGTTGCTCCCTTGCGTTCAAGATCCTTTTCCTGCAGATATGTTCATTTCTTTTGTTTCCATAATATTTAGGAACTTAATGTACCTAGTAATGGACAGGTAAATGCAAGGCAGCTGCTTGTGTCTTAATAACAGGCAGCAGATGAATAAATATGCCAGCCGAGCCCTGCAGATCTGCAAGAGTGCTGTGACCAAGATGGGTACTGAACTTTTTTTTGGTTGCAAGAGACATTTTTATAATAAAAGTGGAAAGTCCTGTGAACCAGAAGCAACAGGTGCTGGATCTCTGCTTGCTTGGCCAGCAACTGTTTTCCAAGCTAGGAAGCAAAGATGTGTTTGCACGTGACTTCATAATGTTGTAGCACTTATTAGCATGGCAGCACTTACTCTTTGTGATGAGGAGGATACAAGTGTTAGCTGCTTTGGCTGACTGCTGGCTCGGTTTTAAGGAAGTGGATATTTCTCTTGCCTTAAAGCTAAATGGATAGTTATTCTGGCAAAGAAATGTCAGGTTGTTGAAATGTAGAAGCCTACTACCCTGTAGTACCCTTGGGCAGCAGGAGGCTGTGGTGTGGATCAGGTATGTCTGGTATGATGGTGGGTGCTCCTGGGGAAAGCCTGCGTGACGTGTGGGAAGAATGGCCCTGTTAGTCCATCTGGCACGCTCACCTCACAGGTGAGTTACTGCTGTTGATGTAAGGTGGAAATAGTCAGTTCCCATATCTGCAGACCTGCCTTCCATTTCTGTTCCTGCTTCAATTGTGTTCCCTGACATTGTGATGCTGTCACATCTGGCTGGATGTGCTGGTGAAGCTGGTACTGTGTCCCAGGGCTGGCTTGAGGGGGTGCCCGTGCCTTTGGGGTTGATGGGGCAGTGGGCACCAGCACCAGACATCACTGTGTCTGTCCTGAAAGCAAGTATCTGTCCTCAGAATGGCAGTATAGTTGGTAGGGAGAGAAACGATGGCACCCAGCCAGCGGTGGGGCAGTGGCTGCTTTTTTGTGGCTGTCATTGCATGTGTGCAAGCAAGCTGCTCGGTGTGCTGCCCTACTTGGAGAGCTGTGCTTTGCCTGGGGGCTGAGGATGAGGAAGTTGATAGGAGGGGAATGAGAGCTTGGATTTCTCTGGCCTCCTTCAGACCAATCCTACATGCAGCCAGAGTCCATGGACTCAAGCAGGAGGTGTCATGTGCAACTGGTGGTGCTTCCTTCCTGGCATCTACAGTTACAGTGAGCAAAGCTGGAGGGGCTGGCTTGGTGCTGAAGATGTTGGTTTTGATTATCTGAGAGCTTCAGAGGGCCTGGGCTGGTCACAACGCAGGTCTTGATAGGCACATTCAGTTTCCAAGGAAGCAACACAGGCTGGAGTGCAGCAAGAGCAGGCATGGATGACCTACTCTGTAGTTAAATTGGGGGAAACTTCTGGAATGGTTGCCTTCATCCTTATAAGAGACTTTTAACTTCTTAAACTGGGAATATTGTACTGCTGTGACAAAGAAGCCTGGGATGTTCCTAGAGCATGTGAAACATAACTTTGTGTTGCAAGTACCAAGTGAGAGCCAGCTAGGAAAAATGCCTTCCTAGACATGTTTTAGAACAGAGGATGCCTTGTGGGAGCTGTGACAGCAGGTGGCTGTCTTGGCTGGAGTGATGGTGAAATAGTTCAGAATTTTTACTGTAAAGGAAAAAGGCTCTTTTATGCATGTCAAGAGCAAGAAGGGATCTAAAGAAAGCACTGGACTGGTTCTTGATGAAGATGGTCACTTAACAGGTAGGCATGAGGAAACAGAAGTCCCTTCTGTCTGTCCAGTTGTATTGCTTCCAGTAGCAATTGTTAGGGGGAATCATTTTTCCTTGGACATCCTACAAACAAGGCATCCTGTGGGTCGCTATAGCTTCAGTCTTGTGTTGTGCAAGTTCATGGAAATCAGAGGTTAGGCTGTTTGGAATGTGACTGTTCTGGTATTGTTTGCTGTTAAAAGCTACCTGTAAATATGCCCCTTAAACAAGTCTGGAGATGTGACCAAAATGCAACTTAGGGCTGTTCTTGTTTGCTGCATTATTATTGGGAAGCTTCATTTAAAAGGCAAAGGAGTTTGTCTTGTAGTGGGAGAGATTATTTTGGCGTGTGTTGCCTTATGCAAGGGATGTCATTTCTTCAGATTTTTCTATGGAGAAAGAGGATGCATAGGGCACAAAAGTGGTTAGCTATTTGAGCTCTATTAATACACCTCACCTTCACAACCGATTGTGACTTGGAGATTTTAATTCAGTAAAATTGAGGATGGTGTGATTAGGTCTTTAAAGCCATGGGGATTGACAAGGAATACCACTGGTCTATGTTGAATCGACCGGAGCAACAAAATAATTGCACTTTGTGCCAGACACACACCAGCGGCGTTAGTGTTTAAATCTAGACCCAAATACCTTGGCTATGATCTTGGCAGTGCTGCGGGTACTGAGCAGGTAAGTTCAGCTTGTGTTTGAACAGGGGCCTCTCAAGGCTGCAGTGGATTTAATATTCTTTTCTGACTCCTGTGCTTTGGTCTTTCAAGAAGCAATTGCCCAGTTCAGAAGGAGAGGATCCCAGTACGCCCAGCTGCTTTAAGGGTCAGAGCAGCCCTCCAGGTTAACGCTCTGAATCTGAAGCTCTTTTGCCTGAAGTCAGTGGGTGCTGCCCAAGGCCATGCGAGCAGCAGGTAATGCCATTTGGAAGATGCAAATTTTGAAACATGCTGCTTTCTAAAAACAATTGCGCAAGGAAGGCTATAAACAGACAGCCCTCCCCTGGCCCATCAATCATCCACGGCAGTTGTAAATTCTAATGACTTCCTTAAATAAGCTGTAGGAGATCCTATGGGTGGAAAGGGTCTGGTGCTGCAGAGCTGGAGGCTTAACCAAAGCTTCCCTACCTCTTGTTCTTCAGCGCCTTTTTGCAGTGTTGGTTGATACTCACAAATTTGAGTGGTGCTGACAAACAGCAGAGTAAAATGTGTACCTGCTCCACTGCCCTCCTGGGCTGCAGCTCCGTTTTGCATCACAAACTGAAACAGCAATGTAGTAGGCTGTGACCTGCATTGGGTCAGGAGCTGCTCACTGCTGGGGCTGACCAGTGGCACGAGGCATGCTGCTGCCTGGTTGGTTCATAACGTTTCCCCCGCAGAAATAGCACAACGCACTTGGCTTCCTCAGGGCTTCTTAACTCTTCCCACAGACACAAGAAACGCTGAAATTTCGTATTTGCGTTGAGGGAGAAGGACTGCTTGTTACAGGTCGGTTTATCCTGCATGGCTTTTGAAGCCCATTTTAGGTTAGGTTTAGGTTCATTGTGGTTTCTGGCTTTGCAGTGGAAAGTCCCCGCCTTATGATTGCAGAGGGTTTCAGTGGGATTAATTCGTAACTGCACTCATCGAAGCACTCTTAGCTTTCCAAGGCTCCAGGTCTTCATGCATTCCTTCCACTTGCATGGGCTTTTAGAGCTGTAGGCTCTTAAGAAGTCGCAGGCATCTCTTTGACCATGCATTAGTCAGTGGGGCATTTTGTTGCTGCACAGTAGGGTTCCTTTTTAGCAAAATCTGTGCTCTTCAGCTGAGCATCTCCTGGAACAAGAAGTTGCTGCTTTGCTCTGTATACACAGCATTGCAAACAGTATTATTGCTTATAAGTGAGTGGAAAGCTGAATTTGTGTAACTGACCCTTAACACCACCTGTCTTCCCTAAGAAATCTGCCTTTTTTTTTGCCTCTGCTGATGTGCTGCACTCCCCTTGTTTTGCCTAGCTGCAGTATTCGATATCAGATAGCAGCTGATTTATTCTCTTAATTACAGTACTGCCCTGTGGGCATAAACAGCAGCTGGGAAACCCAAGCTGTGCTGCTTGAAAACACAGCAGCAGAAGTGCCAAAGCAGTCAGTGCCATCAGCTCTGCCCTGTGTGGTGTGATCTGCCCAAGGCTCACTGCTGGCTGGAGGGGGGCACCGTGAGGCTGGGCACAGTGTTGGAGGAACTGAGAGGATGTATGATGTAAGGAGAAGAGGGCTATGGGAGGCAGGCTTTCTCTTCTGCCCTTTTTGGGTAGTTTTGGCTTGTCCTGGTTAATAGCTGCCTCAGTTCCTGGTACAGTGACATGTGGCATTGTGAGCATCCTGTGTTTGGTGGTGTAGCCTACTTTGTGTAAAGGGGCTTTTCCTCTTGCTTCATTCAGTCTGATCGTCCTACAGTGCTCTGCTGGATTGAACTGTACAGGCTGGGTGTAAGACTTGGCCCAGAAATTGGTGTAACAATCTATGATGTTCCTGTATCAGGATAGCTTTGCTGAGGTGCCTGGGCAGAGTCCTTACCTGTGGGGTGCTCCATGGCTCCCTTTTCCCTGCCCAGGAGAGCTGCTGCTGACCATGCTCACATGAGAAGTGCTTCACCCATCTAGCATTGTGACCAGATAGTTGTAGCCAATACCTGTCCTGAGAGGTTTGAGCAGGTGAACATCTGTAACAAGTGAAGTTCTAACGTGGCCAAATCTGTAGTGCACCCGAGGAGATTTGCAGTAGGGAACTTGGGGAGAGAGGCAGCAGTTATGCAGTGTCTGGTGCTTTGACCTCCTGGTTTGTAAGTCTGCACGGTGCTGAGAAGCATTGCTGTGGGCAGAGGCCATGCTGCAGTTCAGCCTGCGCTTGTGCAAGTGCTGCCATTGAATCTGATACCTCTGCTGAACTCAGCGTCCTGGGTTCAAGGTTGACTTGCTTGGAGATGCTAAACAGTTCTGATCTGATGCTGCTTTGAGCATCTGCACATGTCCTGCTGCTGTCCTGGTGCGTGAGCTTGTGCCCTGCAAAGGATGGGGGTGGTGTGGGGCTGGCAAGCTGGAAGCAAATGCTGGTGTGATTACAGCCAGCAGCTGGCAGTGCCCTGGCAGGACAGCAGCGCACTGTTTATGTGACCAATCAAGAACTGGCTGAAGGATGTGTGTAGCTGTGTTTTGGCATGTAAATGTGAGAAGTTGCTACACTTGTCTGACCTTTTAGGAAATCACTGTGGGTGGCTTTTCAAGAGCCTAATATGTTCCTGTTCTGGCAGGACGTACAGCAGCTCCAGGCTTGGGCTGTCCTGAGCAGTTTACACAGCTTGTGTCACCATAAGGAATAGCAGCAGGAACAGGTCAAGCTGAAAAACTGCCCAGTGCCCATACAAAGTAGTTTGTCTGAATATTTTTCAGCTGTGTGCTTCCCAACTGTATGGCCCTCGTGGCTGCAGGAGGGACCTGTGTCAAAAGGGATGTGAGGGCTGGGGTGAGCTGGCAGGAGAGCTCTGGTGGCGTCCAGGTCACTGCTCACTCTGTATTCAGTCTGTGCATTGGGGCAGGAGGGAACTGGTATTGATTTGCCTTTCTGAGCTCCTCTAGGGCTTCATTTTCCTGCAGCAGTTGGGACCATTAGCTGTGCAAACACTTGTGGGAACATGGGTCTCCTCTGTAACCCCTTTCTTTTAGCTCCTTTGAAATAGAGCTTCTAGCCATTAATAAAGGTACCTGTGGAGTGTGTAAATAGCCCATGATGCAAAATGCATTGCTATGCAATTGTCTGCAAGCGGTATGGCCACATGCCTGGGGCACACAGAGTGGCATGCAGGGACATTCCTAGGGAGAAAAAAGGAGGAGCTGTGGGTCTTAGTTGCCTGAAACACCCCTTCCCACATGGGTACTCAGGTGTAGTGGAAGAATGGTTTGGGATGACACGGCTTGCTAGACCAGAGATGGAACAAAGGCAGGGTTTGGGTGACTGGGGGAGGAATAAAACTAAGGTGAAAAGAGGGGTGAGGGGATGATGGGGGCCAGGTGCGTGCCATGCTTGCTAGCTCTGCCCTGCCCAGCACGGTCTGTGCGGTTCATATGAAAATCCTGACCTGGGTGAGGGCTTTGTGCTCCCCACATCGTGGGATGAGGCTGCAGGGGGCTGCAGCAAGGCCAGATCACAGTGTCCTCGTGTCCAGGGGCAATGACTGTGTGATTGCTGGGAAAGGTTGAGCTGGTGAGTAGGGGATGCAGGCTGGGAGCAGGGCAAGTGGGTCTGCAGGGCCTTCAGCGTTTGGCTTGTGTCCCCAAACTGAGGAGCCCCCAGTGCAGACGGGCAGTGGGCAGGCAGAGGTGGCTCAGCTGCTGGAGGACCTTCCTTGATGAGGCTGGTGCTGATGTCTTTTGGGGACTTTCTTCTGATCTGTGTGTCTGACATTGTGTGCCTATGTGTCTGTGGCTGTGTGTGTATCTCCATTGCTGTGTGGAGCAGCACAGCCTCACCTCTCTGGCTATTAGATCTGGTGTGATGTATTTTCCTGTAATGTACAGCAGCTAGATTTTTATATTCTTACATCTAATAAATTTTATGGCTTCTTTCCATTTTTATAGGAAAAAACACCACCCTGGTCCAGATACTGAAAGTTGTCAACTGATGGGACAAAGAGCTGAGACACTTGGCTGTACTAGGACACTAAAACATAGGGCTTAGCCAAAAAGAGTTCCCTCAGCTTGGAGACTTACACCTGCCAAACCTTGTAGCAGTCTTGGGAGGCTTCTCTGTACCTCTTCTCCATTACTACTAGCCTTTCACACATCATGGTATTTCTTTTAACTTCTTTTGCAAGCTAGCTCTGGCTCTGCCTTCTGCTTCCCATTATGCTTTGGTTTGGGTTACTCGGTATGAGCTGCTGGCTGTAGGCTGTCTCTGCATTTCTGCCTTCAGCTTCTGGTTGGAGACTCCTCTTGGATGTTGTGACTGACCTGCTTTTTCTTTCTTTCACTGTATCTGTCTGCCTCTTCTATTCTTCATTCTCCCCACCTCCATCACTGCAGGTTCATCATGCCTAGTGGCATATAAAAAGACTCCACCTCCTGTCCCACCTCGGACCACATCAAAGCCGTTCATCTCTGTCACTGTGCAGAGCAGCACTGAATCGGCACAGGACACCTACCTGGACAGCCAGGACCACAAGAGCGAGGTGACCAGCCAGTCGGGACTGAGCAATTCTTCAGACAGCTTAGACAGCACCAGGACACCCAGCGTTACGAGGGGCAGCATCGTGACTCCAGCGAGAGACACTCCAGAGCTACCGCAGAAAAATGCAACTTTGAAAAGCGACAAAGGGACTCTGACGAGTGAAGAGCCCAAAGTGGAGAACGTCCCCAAAAGAAAACTGTCATCTATAGGAATACAAGTATGGAGCAGTTTGTTCTTCTTTGTGTCCTAAGGAATGTCTTTAACCCATCTATTTAGCACGTGTGTTTTGTGTGACCAGGTGTGCATCTGAACCCACTCAGAATAGCTTGTTATACTAACTTCCATGTTCCTGGGGGGAGGTAGGGCAGAAGCTTTCTGTAACAGACCTTATAAGAGACTGACAAGCTATTTCAGTTTGAAATATTTCATGAATCGGGGGACCTATGAACTGAGTGGGTCTCTCTAAGAGGCGTTCTGGTGCTAGTAAACCTGCACTGATCCCGTGCTCTGCTCCCACTCCTTAGTGTCAGTCTGTTCCTTGTCCTTTGTGGTTCTTGGGACAAATTTCTTAGGAGTGATGGGCCCCTCTACTTGCTATCTGCTGCAGTGTGATGTGCAGAGCTCTAGGCAGATGGGAGTGCTTCTTGGTGGCCTCTGCTCCCCTGGGCTGCCTGGCAGTGCCAGCAGGTTGCTGCTGTTCCTGCTGGAAACATTTAACTCTATGGAAACTAATGGAAATAAGTTGTTTGTTCTGTAGGCAAAAGAGAACCCACTGAGTAGCATAAACCTGTGCTTTATTCAGCTAATATTGTCACCTGCAATTGCATTCCTTGTGGGCAGATTTCCTGGGCACAGGTGGCTGGTCCCTGCAAACAGCAATTCTGTCCCAAACTGCTGGCTTAATGTTGCAAGTTATAGACTGCAGACAGGAATGTGAGCACTTCAGCAAGTCCAGATCAGGAGCTGGGCTTTGCAGGTCACCATGTGTGTACTGAACAAGTTCTCCATGGCTTTACACTGGGATTTGCTGACCAGTTAGGTACGCAGCTCAGCAAAGGCTTCCCTGTGTGACTGGTGGGGCAAAGCATGTGTTAACAGCCATGAGCAAGAAAAGTTGTGTTGGAGAGGCTGACTTCATTCCTCTTCCTTTCCTGAGTTTGTTCCTGTGCCACCTGTCTACCCCCTGGATTTCCTTCCTGAAACCTTCTAAGCCTTTTATCCAGAGCTATGGAGAGTGTCAGTCCCTGGAAAAGAGGAAGCTAGGCTTTGCTGTCAGTCTTAATTGGATTGTGAAGCTCGTGGCCTTTGCCCATGTCAGGTGCCACGTGCAGCTGCTCCCCTGGGGACATGCAGCCCTTTCCCAGCCAGTGCCATGCAAACAGCAGATGGCAGAGCCGGGTGCGCTCAGAGCAGGTGCCTGGCAGCAGCCCAGTGGGGTACAGCCCTGATGCTCAAGTGGAGGCAAATTGATGCAGCAGCCTGGCACCTCTCCTAACACAACTCTGCAGTTGGTGTGTGCTGTCTGCATGCTGTGTGTGCGTGTGTGGACTCCTCCTGTCTACTAATGTGAATTCCAGCAGCAAGTTCTTGTGTCTGTTTTTGTCTGTATTTCTTTTGTTTAATAAGGTTGACTGCCTTCAGCCAGTGGTCAAAGAGGAGCCTCCTCCACCAGTCACCAAATTCCAGTCCATCGGGGTTCAGGTAGAAGACGAGTGGCGGTAAGTGAAAGACTCGGGCTTTTGTAATTCTTACTCCTTTCTTCTAAATTGCTCTTTCCCATTTCTTAGATCACCTTCTCCCCTTATTCTAATACGAATGGTGTTGAGTGGGGGCCCGTGGATAGCTTTTCCTCCCCAGTACACACCTGCTGCAAACAGCACTTAGTCTGCAAACAGACAAATCAGTGGCAGGTTGAAATAAATAAAATAGTCCAAGATGTAATCAGAATTGTGCATCAGTCCTCTCATCTGAATGGCCTATTGCAGTAAGCAGGCAACCTTACGATTTTGTCTGTCCGAATGTGTACTGTGTTTGTGTGTGAGAAGGGGAAGAGGAGGCTCAACTGCAGGCATAATAAGCAAATGTCTTTAATGGTTAGTTGTTGACCAGACAGGTTGAGTTCTGCTATTTAATATGTTTGGGTTTGATCTCTCCAGAAACAGCCACTCTCGCAGTATGTCCTCCAAACAGGATACAGACTCTGACACGCAGGAACCCAACAACTCTAGCTGTAAATCATCTGAGAGAAGCGTTGCTGAGTGCCCCCAACACAACAACTCTGTTGGTGTTGATACCAGTGCCAGGCAACCAGCCAAGCCCTCACAGATTAAGAGAAACCTCTCCTATGGAGACAACACTGACCCAGCCCTGGAGCCTTCCTCTCTCCCTCCTCCTGACCCTTGGCTTGAGACATCATCTGCCTCGCCATCGGAACCCACGCAGCCCGGAGCCTGCCGGCGGGATGGGTTCTGGTTTCTGAAGCTGCTGCAGGCAGAAACAGAGCGGTTAGAGGGCTGGTGCCGCCAGATGGACCAGGAGACCAAAGAGAACAATCTCTCTGAAGAAGGTAGGTGCTGCCAGCCTCTGGACACAATGCTGGAGCAGCCCAGTAGCTCCTCCTTTAAGAATTAAAGCAGAGTACTGGACTGGCTTTCTGTGGTTAAATTGCTGATCTCCCACAGGGTCACAGTGGAACCTGGAGGTGAGTATGCAGCAAGGAACAGTTTGTCCTTGGGAAGGACAGGAAGGATAAGGCAACTTGCTTTAGCAAATGGGGTAAGAAATAACGCAGTTGAGAAGATTTCAGAAGCTGCCATCATCCATTAAGAAGTCAAAGCAGCTAAAAGCTTGACTAGGTTGTTTTCAGAGAGGCTGAGAGCTTTCTCCCTGGCCACTCTGTTTTGATTAAGTGCACAAGTAAAAGTTTACCTGGTGGTGGAGTGGAAGGCACCATAACTGTGTGCCTGTGTGATCTGGCTTGTCTTCATGGCAGAGAGTAGGTTTCTTTGTAGGGGAACATCTCACTGAATTCCTGTGAAGTATACCAAAGTCACATACACAGGAAACACAAGGGCACTTGATTTTACTGGGCTCAGTCACAGCTGGACTTGTTCCATTATTTTCAAATGAATTGGCAAAAGCTCTGCTGCTTACAGTGGTAATCATGCTTAGGTGTGTACTGAGTGACAGAACCAAGTACCTAGGCTGCAAGGAGCACAATTTCGAGGCCTGTTTATACCCAAGAAAGGTGAAATGGTGGTGAGGTTTAGTTATAGCTTGCTGTCACTGCTGGGGGCATTTGATCTCTAACCGTATCACACTGTGATGCTGCACTGGCTCCTGAGCTGGACAGTCAGTGCTGGGGCTCTGCACACTTCAGAGGGACAGAGCATGTCATGTTGCTCTTGCTCTGCTTGTGGCAACAGTGCCTTGGTATGAAGAGACACAGATTGATGTGATGTTAGATCTGTGACCTTAAGAGCAATCTCCTAGTAGGTTTTGTAACGAAGAATGTGGTGGGTATAAAAAAAAAAAAAAAAAAAAAGCCCTGCTTATGTCTGTCCAGTCAAGCACAGATCTATAAAGATTCAGAACTGATTTGGGAGAACTGCATCAGGCTAGGGAGAAGGAAGCAGATCATTCCACATGTGCTCATTATGTATTTGTGTGCTCCATGAGTCTCTCATCCCTGCCTTTGCAAGGGAAAAGCCCATATTTAGCACTTTTCCATAATCAACCAGAAGAATGTTGCTATGCTCAGAGGCTCCTTGGAGGCCCACTAAGAGCAGCATAAAGCCCTGGGTTTTAAAAGCATTGTGATTAAAAACACTTGCCTGACAGTATTTTAATCCATTCCGGTAAATAGAGATTGGAGACTGTTCTATCGAGAAGCAAGGGACATTGCTGCTTTTCCTTTGTCCATGGGCAGAAGAGCAGGCAATGATGATCTGTGAGCAGGTGCCAGCTTCAACTCCTCTGGCTGGGCTTGCAGCCCATCACACGAGCCACAGGGTACTTCCTGCAAGCTCTGTTGCCATGATCTTCTTCTGTTGTCCTGCTTCTGACCTGCTCTAGATAGAAGGAGCAAGGATGGATGGCAAAGCCAACCACAGACTGTAGTTTCAGTGCATCTTTGTTGCCTGAGAGTAGTTAGTTCTTAACAGATCTCCGTAACTGCTAATGATTATTTCTTGCTCCAGGAATGCCTGAGTTTGTTGCTGCACTTATGGACTGTTCAATTAAGCCCTTTCTTTTCTTTTCCACCCTCTAATAGTCTTAGGAAAAGTCCTGAGTGCAGTGGGCAGTGCACAGCTACTAATGTCACAGAAGTTCCAGCAATTCCATGGCCTCTGTGAACAAAACTTGGTGAGTCTGGTTTTATTTCTGCCTCTTTCTGGGAGTGAAATACAGCTGCTTCAGCAGCACAACAGGAATATTGTTATGCTGACAGCAGTACAGAGCAAAGCCAGAGCGGCTGTAGCCTACAACCTGACCGCTGTGCTGTGATGGATTTGTGCTGTTTCCAAATAGCAGGTGAGCAGTGGGTGGCTGAACAGGCAGTTCTTAGCTGTGCTCTGCTCAGGGATGAATATTTGCAGTTTGTTTTCGTGCTTGTGTGGCACAGAGAAATTCTCTTCAACTGCCATTCAGGCACACTAAAGGGCACCTGCAGAGTCTCTTGTAGGTCTGATGTCATGTAGCCATTCTGCTGTGTGTCCTGGAAACCACTTCTTTGTTGCTTCTAAAGGACATTTTGAGGTGAAACACAGATTTTTACCAAATGGGGGGTTGTTTGAAAAGCACATTGTTTTCCAAAGATGCTTACTTTGCATGTAGATAATGTGGATGGTAGGGCTGTCCCAGCACAGTTGTCTCTGATTAATCACAAAACGTGGCTTGAATCAGATCTCTTCAAATTAATGCGAAGGTTTGCCTTGCTGAGCTAACTTGAGGATGGGTGGGAATCTAGGATTTGGGGGTTGTCTCTTTCCTCTCAAGGTTTTGGGTTTTGCAGAATTCTTGAGATGTATTCCCCTTTACTTGCAAAAAACTTAGAGAAGCTCGGGAAGAAGAAGGATGTGAATGTTCCCTTGCAGATCTTGGAACATGGCTGAGAGAAGAGCAACAGCAACACCAGCAGCCAGGCTTTCAGCAATATTCTGTGTTGAAATTTTCCTTTGACACATTGTGCTGAGTTGCTTTGATTTAATCCTGTGCTTTCCTGAGACAGTGAAGGCCTATATTGGCAGTTTAGGTGCCTGAGAATTAGGGAATTTCTGTTTTTAATGGGGGCAAATTTACTTTAGCTCCTTTAAAATTTTTTTCAGAAGTTACAATGATGAAGTGCTGGTTCTGCTGCCCAGCAAAATGTGGGTGCTCCATCCCTGGGGGTGCCCAAGACCATGGCTGGGCCCTGGGCAGCCTGAGCTGAGGTAGGGCAGCCAGCCCACAGCAGGAGTGGGGATGGGGATTGTAGGGTCCCTGCCAGCCCAAGCCCTTCTACAATTCTATGAATCTATAAGCAAGTCTAAGAAATCACAAAATCAAAGGGGTTGGAAGGCTTCTCTGGAGTTTCCTGGTCCCACCCCACACTTAGAGCAGGTCATGCAGGAAAGCATCCGGGTGGGTTTGGATATGTCCAGAGAAGGAGACGCCACCTCCTGTGCACAGCCTGTGCCAGGGCTCAGGTACCCTCGCTGTAGAGAAATTTCTCCTTGTGCTCAGACAGAACTTCCTGTGCTCCAGTTCCCACCTGTTGCCCCTTCTCCTGTCACTGCACACCACGGAAAGGGCCTGGCCCCATTTGAGTTCCTCACTTTAGATACTCATAGATTTTCTGCCTCCCCCCCAGTCTCAGTTATCTCTTCCCCAGGCTGAACAGCCCCAGCAATCTCAGTCTTTTGTCATACATCGTACAGGGATGCTTCAGGCCCTGGAGATCTTTACGGCCCCCTGCTGGACTCTTTCTAGGACATCCTTGTCTTTTGTGAACTGAGGCACCCAAAACAACACAGAACTTCAGATTTGGCCTCAGCAGGGCAGAGGGAAGAACCACCTCCCTCACTCTGTTGGCCATGCACCCTAATATACCACTGGCCTTCTTGGCCACTGGGGCACACTGTTGGCTCATGGGCAAAGTGCTGGCCATCAGAGAACACCCAGGTCCTTCACCACAGAGCTTCTTTCCAGCAGGTCATCCCCTAACTGTACTGATACTTTCAGATGTGTAGCAAAGTAGTTTTGCCTGTGAAAACACTGGCATGCAAGCTTTCCAGCTGTCAGCTGTGGTTTGCATTGTGCTGTATCAGTTTCTATTATTCCATTCCCTTAAGTTATGATCTATGTACTTTAAAAAAAAAAAGTGTTGTAGTTCTGAATTGCATGCCAGAGATCTTCAGTTGGAGGTTGTTGCTGAGGGATTAGACTTAACCAGGGATGCCATGAGGAGAAAGGTGCTGTTGCCTTCTGCTGCAGAGTACCTTTTAGGATTATTTTTCAGTCTCCAATATAAGGAATTCCGTCAGGATCTTTTCTTCCTGATTGCTGCAAGAAAAACTTCTGTCTGTAAATGATGGCCTCATGCCTGTGCCTACTTAGGGCTGAAGTTTCTTAAGGGGTTTTCGAGGCTTCAGTCATTAGAAAAGAGTAAATGTAAGCTGTACAGGCATATTCTTTATGATGTATTTTTATGCCTTCCCTTGTAGAACCCTAATGCCAATCCCAGACCCACAGCCCAGGACCTAGCTGGGTTTTGGGACCTCCTGCAGTTGTCCATTGAAGACATCAGCATGAAATTTGATGAGCTGTACCACCTGAAAGCTAACAGCTGGCAATTGGCAGAGACACCGGAGAGAAAGGTGAGCGTGGGGCAGTTCAGAGCGGTGAGAGCGCTTCACAGATACTTCCAGTATGATATCTACTCCTGTCTGCAAACAGAAGATCTCTAGGATGTTCACTACCTTCTATTTCTGCAGCATAATCCCTCCATGCAATCTACCTGCCTGTGATAATAGTTCTGGCACTTGCACTAATGAGATTGTATTGTTAATCAGCCATCCTCCCAGTGCGTGCTTTCACGGCCTCTTGAGTAATAGCGGAAGCAATTTTTACAAGAGGAAGATGGGGAGAGTGTTGTACACTCAAAGCAGTGATGCAGAGGCCTCTAGTGTTACAAGCACTGCATAAGTACTGGTGCCTGGGTGGTATAAAAAGCATCTGCTGGAGCCTTTGGAAATCCAGGGAAGGCTGCAGCTCAGGGCCACCCTGTCTGACCACATATGAGGGGAAGAAAGAATGCTATGGCTATGGGCAGTGCAGCGTATTAGGGTTTTGCAGTTTCAGATGATGTTCAGTCTTTGTGCTGTGCTGTGCTCTGACTTACAACTGGGCCACAGATAAAGCTAGAAAAAAAGAAACCCAGTCCATATCATGAAAAGCAAAATAGTCCTTTTTTATTTCATAAGAAGTAGAGAGCTTATTTTATCAAGAATGTCTTGCTCTGGAACTGTTCCTACCTCTTGCACTTGTCACTCATAACCTTGTTTCTTAGCTCTTCGGGCCTCGAGAGTCCCCACCATAGCAGGGAGCAAACTTCTGTATGTGCATTTTTATTTTATGTTTGGGTTTTTCCTTACTGTCTCCCTAAAGGAAGAGAAGAAACCACCCCCTCCAGTGCCAAAGAAGCCAGCAAAGTCCAAATCCCAACTGAACCGGGACAAAGCCTCTGATTCAGACAAGCAGCGCCAGGAAGCTCGCAAGCGTCTCATGGCAGCCAAGCGCGCTGCCTCTGTGCGGCAGAACTCGGCCACGGAGAGTGCAGACAGCATCGAGATCTACGTCCCCGAGGCACAGACACGCCTTTGAGCGAAGGGGCAGAGGAAGGAACCGTGTGGTTTTTATAAGTCATTAAAAAGGGAAAAGAAAAAAAAAGGTTCTCTCTAAACTAGTGTGATTTATTCAGTCTAGAGACAATGAGCCATCCTTGAAAAGGGCTCCTGAGTTGGCTTTTTCTCTCAGCTTTAAGTAATGAAGATTTTAAACATAAAAAGAAAAAAAAGAAAAAAAAATACCCCTCATTTTCTCACTGGCTGTGGTGTTGCTGAATGGACTGAACAGACTCCTGGAACCTCCAGCCCCTCAACTTGGAACTTCAATCTTTTTACTTGTTCTAACTAATGAGAATTATTAGCCTGTTTACAAGAAGAGGACAACAAAACATGAAGCCTTGAGCACTTGCCATGCTGTGTTTTTCTTCCTCCTTAGTTCTGTTCTTCCTTCTCATCCTTTATTTTTCCCCCTTCTGCACCCTTTCTCCTTCCCTCTGCATGGCTTTGTTTACTGTGTTAGAAATAACCTCTCTTCCACAGAGCTCCTGAAGAGAACACCTATTCAGTGTGTACTACTGTTGCACTCTGCTAGCAAGCAGCCTTTCTTGGTTTTCTTTTTTGTTCTCCTTTTGATGGGGATAGGGGGTGGGGGAAGGATGGGTGGGCAGGGTCAGGGCATTGGGTTCGTATTCCTGTTTTAATGAAGTGAGAGGATGACAGGATCTGTGGAATGTAATGCAGAGTTGCTGAAATGCAGCCTGAAAGCAAACGTGCAATAAGCTGGCAAAGGGGGCAGTGATGGTTCTTGGCTGGCAGTGCCCTACCCCAGGCACAGGAGGGGAGCTGAAGGACCACAGAGCAACTACAGACACAATCCACACATGCTTCACTTTGAGTTTTATTTCTATGCCCCCTCACCCCCAAAATTATATCCCGAGTTGCTTGTTAGAAAGAAGCTGCTAAACACTGAGGGACCTGTTTCAAAGTGGGCTGGGGCAGGGGAGGGCGGGGTGTGTGTGCTGGTGTTTCAGGGTGGAAGGACTGGGTTTTGTACAAAAAGGAAGGCAGGGGTGGCTAAAGGAAGGCTGCCTGCCTGTATGTATGTGTACATATGCACATATACACTTAGTAGTACCTGTACATTTAATTCATACACACGTATACATGCCCATACACAGTGCAGATTAGAAGCACCTTTGAGAGGATGGGCATATGTATAGCATATATTTTTACATGTACTATATCTAGATGTGTGTAAAAGTGTGTGTAAAAATATATACCCTGTGTGTAATCAGATGACTATTTTTTCCTTATCTCCCTGCTCTTTGGGTAGAGAAAGGATTGCTAAGTATTTTTTAGCCCATTTTCCCCTTTGTAGGCTCCTTTTCAGTTTGGCTTCTTGAAGCCAGAGCTGTCACGACCCAATTCTTTGCCACCCCCTTAAAATAAGCATTTGGTCCTATTCTGAGTGATCTTGCTGGGGACTTTTTTTGTTGTTGTTGTTCACTTGCTTGAATGAGTTGGGAGATGGTCTGCTACTTTCATGGGGGTGGGGGTGGAATCCCAAAGAAGTTTCAGCGAGGGTGTTGGTGATCCAGAAGGCAAAAAAATAAATAAAAGTGAAACCTTGAACGATGTTTGAGTCAGCATTCTGTACTGACCAGTGGGGTGCATGTGTGTGCTTTTGGAGATGCCTTCATAGTCATACAACGAAAGTATATTTCCATCAAAGTTTGGCTGTAAAGTAACATACTCAACTTTGTGCCTAGAGAGACTCACTTGGCGATTACACCATTGGGTTTCTGGGGCGGGCTGGGAAGCTTCTGCATTTTTTGAGATCTCTAGCACTGAAATTGGGAAGACAAGTGAGGCGAAGGGCGTTTGTGTGATATAGCGCTTCTCAAGAGAGCTGAGGCTGCTGCTCGGGGTGGGCATGCAACTGCACCGTGCTGAGAACGCTCTGTCTGCCTGCGAGGCGACGGCCTTTCTTCCTCTGCCCCTCAGCAGGTACCTGCAGGCTCCGGGCATAGCCAGCTGCATCTGCCCCAGAGAGGCCCACAGCTGGGCCTCAACACTCACTGCTGGGAGGCGCCCCTGGGCACGCAGCAGGCAGACGCAGGGTAGCAGCTCTGTCAGCCGTGCAGCCACTCTGCTGCACTGGGCTGCGCTGTGCTGTGCTGTGCTTCACTGCATGCCCTGCTGTGCAGCGCTGTGCTGTGCTGTGCTGCATGCCCTGCTGTGCTGTGCTGCATGCCCTGCTGTGCTGTGTGCCCTGGTGTGCTGCACTGTGCTGTGCAGTGCTGTGCTGTGCAGTGCTGTGCTATGCAGTGCTGCGCTGCACTGTGCTTTACAGTGCTGTGCTGTGCAGTGCTGTTCTGTACTGTGCAGTGCTGTGCAGTGCTGCGCTGTGCTGTGAAGTGCTGCGCTGTGCAGTGCTGCACTGTGCTGTGCAGTGCTGTGCTGTGCAGTGCTGTGCTGTGCTGCACTGTGCTGCACTGTGCAGTGCTTTGCTGTGCAGTGCTGTGCTGTGCAGGACTGCACTGTGCTGTGCAGTGCTGCACTGTGCAATGCTGTGCGGTGCTGTGCTGTGCAGTGCGGGCAGCCATGGAGGCACATCAGGCTGTGCGCTTTGCACTGCACTCATCCCGGGGCCTGGGGGCTCTGCGCTTAATTTCTACAGCTCGATAAATGCATATCTGTGTAAAGCTATATGCGTGTACATAGAAATAGAGAAAAGTAGATAAATAAGACGTTCATACATGTCTATAAACACGCTTCTGTACGACTATTTCTTTACCTGCAGCCACCTTCGCGTCCGAGCGCTTCACGGTGCGAAGAAGGAGCGCAGCCAATCACAGTGCTGCCTCAGAACACGTGGGCGTGGGGTGTGAAGAATGGCCGCCGGCCAATCACAGAGCAGTGTGACGTTTAACAAAATGGCTGCTCCCGCCATAAAATGGCGGTCAAAACAAAATGGCTGCTCCCGTGTATGAGGGGGGAGGGTTTTCCGTGCTCCGTATAATTTCGGGTAATCTGATGAGGGGCCGCCGGACCCGCCAGCCAATGACAACAGACAACATGAAGGAAACCGGGGAGGAACCTCCGGGAAAAGTGGCCGCTGAGACGGCTGGAAAAGGCGGGACTTCCGCCGCCTGCTGAGGGCGGTGCGGCAGTCGCTGCTCCTCCCTGTGCTCGCGGGCAGTCGCGGCGGCTCCCTCAGGTCGGCCGGCTCCGAGCCCCGCGGGCAGCGCTGCGTCGATGCTTCTCCGGGGCTCGTACTGGGGAACGGGGTACTGAGGGTCAGGAGCGTGGGGCGCGGGTAGAGACGTGCCCGCCTGCCGGGGCCTGAGCCTCCTCCCACAGCCGTCTTCCCCAGCCCGGGTGCTGCCTGACGGAGTCTCCCGCTCAGCCGCTGCACCGCGTCTGACCGAGCGGTGCGCGCCGCCCGGCCGAGAGTCTTCGTGCATCACCGCAGCACGGGACGGGCACGTTGTGCCCACGTCCGGGCGCCAGGTCGCCTTTCTTTCCTGGCCTCGTGCGAATCTCCGCGGCTGTTGTTTTAAATGAGGGCTGCCCTTGTATCAGCTGTGCTTTGGTCAAACTTACTTGGAATCAGCCCTGCCACGTCAGTTTTCCTGTAAATAACGTACGTGTCAGCTGGGATGGCTGTGGGATTCCCCTGACACCAGCAGTTCCCTTAGCAGAAGTCGAGCGTACCGAGCACCCTGCAGAACTCTGACGCTGCGGCAGTGCACAGCTCCTAGCTGGGGGAGTGCCGGGAGGTGAGCCGGTGAGAGCAGCACAGCAGCAATGGTGCAGTTTGCAGTGCTGCCGAGATGGTGACACCACCTGTAGTTTGACCCTCTGATTGCACTGCTGTGGAGCATGCCACCTTGCTCTGCCCCTTTGCCCCAGCCATGGGGGCTGCGTTCACCTGGGAGACTGGCCCAGGCCTCCCCACCACGTGTGTCTTCTCAGGGTAGTGGTGACGTCACATGTGGCATGAAAGCATTGTGTTAATGGGGCTTTTTTTAGCTAGATGGGGAACAGAGCATGGCTGGGGCCGGGAGGTAGGACCCCTCCAAGGAGCACAAATCCACACTTCTTGCCTTGTAGGACAGAGGTGAGAGCTGTTGCCATCTCTGCTGCTCATTTTCATGGCTTCTTGCCCTCCTCTTCCTGCATAGGAGAGCAGGTGACGGGCAGTGGCGGAGCAGAGCCAAGCCCTGCGGCTGTGTTCAGAGGCAGATAACAGCCTCTGCTTCCCCAATGCCCAGCCTCTTGTACCTTCCCATTGTTTCTTTACAGGGAAGGTGTTGAGGAGCCCAAGCTCTGCTGAATTCTGGTGACCCCATCCCAGCAGGGCTGAATGCAGGTCCCCAGGGCTCTGCCCAAATCCTGCCCAAGCTGTGAGGGGAGCCCAGAGCCCAGCTTGGGGCTCAGGGAGCCTGAGGTGTCTCTTGGGGCTGCTGGAGAGGCAGGCAGAGCTGGGTGGGAGAGCACCAGCTGTGTTTTAATCTGCCACAATCCTCATTGCTGCACAGTTTTCCCTATGCTGGGCTGTTGGCCCTGTTGACACTTCGCTACCTCCCTGCCTCCAGGGTACCCCAGCCCACACCCATCATCAAGAACAGAAATCAGCAGCAGAAGGCACAATGTGGGGTCAATCATTGCTGTTCCTTTCCCCAGAGTTGCCAAAAGGCATCCTTGGAGCTGCAGGAGTGAGGCTCTGAAGGGGACTAGGGGCTTACATCCTTCTATGGCCCCTGCCTAGGGCCTGGGGCACAGGATAGGGCAGCAGGAACCATCAGGACTGCGGTGCAGGGTGTGAACACTGGAAGCAGATGGAGTACCACTGTGCACACCACCACCATCTGCCCCAGGCTGGGAAGCTCTGCTCAGCACCCAGCCCTGTCCCAGTGCCCAGGGCGGTGGTTCTGGTGCTGCTGGTGCTGGTGCTGCTGCTGCTGCTACCTTTAGGACTGCGTCACAGCTGCACATGAAGGAGCAAGACTTGCTGCACTGGGGTCAGCCTTGCATGTCACCTGAGCATCAGGCAGGGTCAATACATGAACTGTTTATCATTTTTTCCCCATCAGTAAAGGTGTAACAGTGTTGTCCAACTTCTCTGATCCAGGCGAGGCAGAGGAGGGTGCTCTCTGCTTGCAGACATCAGGACCCAGTGCTGTGGCAATGAGCAGGTAATGGCCTACTCATGGCCAGACCAAATGGGGTAGGTGCAGGCTGGTGCCAGGCACAGGCCCCTTTTTTCCTCACCCAGCAGTGGTTCTTAGACCTCTTAAGCTGCTTTGGCTGAGTGTCAGGAGCTGGGGGCTGGCACTGCAGCGCATCAGCATGTTTTGTAATGAGGTGAGGGAGGAGCAAGTGTGACATAACACAGCCTGACTCAGATCTCATATTTAAAAAAGAAACAAAACAAAAACTTTTATTTGACAACAGAAGAACAAACAAAAAGATATTTACAGTAGTTTTTTGCTCCAAACTTTAATTCCAAAAATCCCACCCCTCTCCCCCCCAACCCCGCAGATTCTTTCTGGTCCATCCCCAGGGTAGCAATACCATTCCATCAATACCATTCCATCAATACCAATCCATCTCACGGGCACAGCTGCAGCGCTCCTGCCACCAGTGCAGCAGCACTGCTTGTCCCCACTTTGGTTTGACTGAGGCAAAAATAAGGGGAGGTGAGGGAAAAGCCTCTCCCTGCCAAGGGGGACAGCGCTGGGGAGAAGGGCAACCTACAAATAAGGAAAGGCTGTCCTAAAGTTCAGGGCTTTCCCCAGAAAGGAGGGACAGGGCAAAAGCTGGACAGAACCAGAGCCCAGGGAGCTGAGCAAGGCGATGCTTGGAACTGCATGGTGAGCATCAGCCCCGCAGCGCTGCACTGGTGCCCCTGCCTGGCTGGGGACCATTGATGCTTGGCCCTCCATGCAGAAGGGCAATCAGCCAATGCAATGCACTGCTGGCAAACTGTCCCCAGCCCCTCAGCGCTTGGGAGCTCTCCTTCCTCCCCTGTCACCTTTCCTCTAAACAAGAAAAGAGGAAGAAAAACAGCCCCCTGAGTCAGTGCTCTCCCCAGGCTCCATCTTCTGCAGAGCACCAGGTCCTGTGGACATTATCTCTAGTCATGCAACTTAACATCAGGCTAATAACCTACGATTAGTGTTTTTCAGGATAGATAACATAGGTGTGTACGTATCACTATTTAACTTCAATTTACAGTGAAACAGCGACAGCTCAGTTCCAGGACCCCTGCAGTGCCCAGGCTCTCAATCCAGCACAGAAAGCCATGCCCGGCAGGTGCCCATGACCCAGAACAGTCCCAGCCCAGCAAGCTCTGCTGTGCCAGGGCTCCCCCAGGCACCAGCTGATGCTGGAAGTCACCAGCACCCGCTGTGCTGCAGGAGGGCTGTGGGGGCAGTGGGGAGAAGCAGGACTCAGCCCCCCCACGGCTGCGTTTCACCAGCGTTTGGCTGCTTTCAGGGGCAGTGGTGCGCAGTGAGCAGTGCAGCTGCAGAGGAACGCACAGGCTGCCCATGCTCACCACACGCCCCTTTCTAAAATGTTATTTGAAAAAAAAAAAAAAAAAAAAAAGTTAAAAAAATTAAATTAAAAACAAAAACCTTGGATGCAAAAATTTCACAGTCGGCTTCGCGTCCGCCCCCTGCAGCAGCCTGCAGCCGGTGCTCCTCAGGCTGTGCAGCATGCTCTCTGCTCCAGGACACTGTGCACATCTTCAGCAGGAACATGTGAGAAACGCGGGGAAATCACGGAAACATTTGTTGAAGAAATTTAAAATTTAAAAAAAAAAACAAAAAAAAAACCAAAAACATGAATCATAATTAAAGGGAAAAGGCTTCAACAGCAACAAAAATAATTATATATAAAAAAACAAAACTGCTAAACAGCACCATCGAGATTTGTACTGGCATTATCTGTCACACCCTAAGGCAGAAGATGAGGGTCCTGCATTTGCCACAGTTTCAAGTTTCCAGTTCGCCCGTCCCCCAGCCTTCTCCAGGCAGGATGTGGCTCCTGGCCAGCACCAGGCACTGCTGTGGCCCTCTGCAAAAACTGGAGAAAGGTACAAAAAGGATCAGAGACATGTGGGAGAAAAAGAATTCCATCCACAATCCTTAAAACAGACAAAAACTTTAAAAATATATATATTCTCTCTTCCTCTCCCTGAAGAAGTGGTGTTAGCTGGACCCTTGTTTCCAGGAATGAGAAAAAGAAGTCAGCAGGTTTTCCGAGGGAATTCTGTGGCTTCGCACAGCAACCATGGGTCACGGCAAGGAGAGGTCTCTGCCACACAGGTCTGCTTCCACCTGCGCAGGGCCCCGTCCCCAGCAGGAGCTCCGTGGCGGCAGGCATTCCCCAGGATGGGGCAGGACAGCCCTTCCTCTCTTCACCCCCTTGGTCAGCGGAGGTATGGGGATGCACAGGTCTGTTTCTGAGATGAGCTGTGAGAGGGTGCGGGAAGTCGCAGACTCCTGAGGCCAGAGAAAAGGGTCCCATGGGTGGCAGAAGGCTGGAGGTTGGGCGCCCCCGGGGAAGGGCACCCCGCAGGACCCGCACTGGGGGCTATTTGTTGACAGAGGCGCCCGGGGGCTCAGTCTGAGGTGAGAGGGGCAGCTGCCCGCCCTGCCGCTGTGATTCCAGCTCGGCCGCCTTCTGCAGTGCCACCTCCACCAGCAGCTGGAAGCTGCTGAAGTCGTCACCAAAGAGCTCGGGAGGCGTGGGGGGCGGCGTGTTGAAGAGTCCACTGGTGGGGCTGGCTGCTTCGGCACGCGCCAGCAGGGCCACGGTGCTGCCGGCGGCACCCAGCAGAGCTTTGGGGTGGGGGTCTGGCTCCACTCGCTGCAGGCCGGGCTGCTTCTCCCGCTCAGGGCTGCGGGCACCCAGCACCGTCAGGTTGCCACCCAGCGCCTGGGCAGGATGGCACAGTACCTGCGGGCATACGGATATTGGCAGCACTTTGGCAGCCCCCGCTGCCGTCACGGGAGGAACCACCAGCACGCCGGAGCCAGCGGCGGCCCCCCGTGGCAGGGTCACGTCGCCGGCTTTGCCCCCTCGGCGAGAGATGGTGAACTGGTTGGGGTCCTTCCCGTCCTTGCGCAGCATGTCAGGGAGCAGCCGCCGCCGGGCGTTGATGAACCAGTTGCAGATCTGGGAGGAAAAAGGGGCACAGTGCTGTCAGCAAGAGGTTCTGTGCCTCCCTCAGCTACCGCGGGGCTCCTCCACCCCACATCTCCCTTGGAGGAGCAAAGCTGCCCTAGTAGAGCTGCATGCGAAAACCCCACGCCGGCTGCTTCCCGCCCCGTGCTGCCGGCCTGGGCAGCCCCTTTTCCCCAGCACCTCCATCCCAGCACCGTGAGCAGTACTGCCCAGCCCTGCAGAGTGCTGCGGCGTGCAGGCAGGCAGAACATCACCCTCAGCATCTCCGGTACCCCCTCAGACCTGCGGACTGCAACCTCGGCCCCCTGTGGGTAGCAGGGGGAATAAGGCAGCACGCTATCTGGTTCTGTGCCTGCCCCCGCCAGTGAGGCTGCGGCTGAGCTTTGAAGGCACTTCTCAACATCTGCATGGCATCGGGGCAGAGCTCCACAGCTGCACCTTGGGAAGCCCTTTTGGAAGTTCAGCAGCCGTGTATTCGGTTTCTGCCATGCATTGTTTCAGTGTCTTCATATAAAAAACTGCATTTAAAAAAATGCCTACTTCCTAGAAAACAATTAGAAGAGAATAAATCAGGCCAAAAAATGATGAATATTTCCCAAATCAACAGCTCTGTAAATTATTTCCTTGGGGAAAGAGAACTTACCACAACTTCGATCACAGCAAGATCTCAGTTGTCCTTTTGTTGTCTTTCAGACAATATCTGGCATTTAACACCCTCCAATCCACGAGTCTTGCCCCCTCTTTCCTCACAAGCCCTCTCCCCTTACAAGCCATAGGCAGCAGCCCCCGACGTGCTCCTGTAGCCCCATGGCACAGAGCCGCCACCAGCAGGCTGCAGCCCAGAATGTGGCACACAGCCCGGCACACGGCCTGGCCACAGAGCAGCACATGGCCCCAGGCTGCTCCAGCCACACTCCAGCACTCAGCTGTACGGGGCTGCGCAGGCCTCAGCTCCTCCGCTTTCATGCCACTGGGCTGAGTTTCGTTTTTTTCTCTTTTTAAAGAGAAAACCTCCACACTCCCGAGGGCAGGGGACGGGCGGCTGCAGGACTCACCGGGAGCTCACTGACCCCGACAGAAGACACGGGGCCACACAGCTGCCACCACCCTGCAGAGCCGGGGCCGCTGTGCATGCAAACAGGCGCTGGGTGCGCAGGGCCCGGCTCGGCCCCACTACCCAAACTCCAGGGGAGAACGGCCCATAGCCCAGCCTGGCTGCAGCCATGCCCCTGGGGAAACCCAGAGACTGCACTGGGCCCTGCCACCCCAGGGCTTCAGAGAAAGGAACCCCCTACAGCCCTGCCAGCACCATTGTAGAGCTCCCTGCCAGGCAAGCCCAGCATCCCAGGGGCAGGGCCAGGCAGGCTGCGGTGGCCCCAAGCCCACGGCCAGCCCCAGCCCCGGGCTCCCCAGAGGCTGCTGGGCACAGGCCTGCTGCTCTGCCGGTGTTCAAACCGATAAGAGAAAATAAAAGTCTGCCTCACCGTTTCAGGAGAAGGAAACCAGACGGTGCCACGGCCCACGCAGCAGTGCCTGGGCCAGCAGCAGGGCAAGGAGCAGGGGAGAGCAGGGCTGGGCCGGCTGTCCCACTGCTGCCGTGCTGGGCTGTGAGCGGCCAGCGCTGCCCAGGGCCCCGGCACGGCGTCCTCCTGGGATGGCCGCCCCTGCCCCGGGGGGCCACAGGGGAATCCCGGGAACGCGAGGAAGCCTGAAGCACCCACAGGCCCTGAAGTGGCAGAGCATCACCTCGCGTGGCCCCATCCAAACGCAGCTGCAGCCCCCGCTCCAGGAGCTCCCAGGGAGGGGCCGCGTACCTGCAGCACGGAGAGGCTGGTCTGCCCCGAGAGGCTGAGCTTCTCCTGCTCCGAGGGGTACGCGTTGAAGCGGTGCTCGTACAGCCACTCCCGCAGGATTCGCACGGACTCCTTGGGCAGGTTGCCCCTTCTCTTCCTCTTGTTCGACTGCGACGGGTCCAGAGCCGCGGCGCCGTCGTCCTCTCCGAGGTCGCTGTCCGACATGGCGGGGCTGCCCGCGGCGCGGTGCTGCTTCGAGCCTGAGGGGGGAACGGTACCGCGCGTCGGGGCGAGCACCGGCACACACGGAGCTCCGCCCGCCGCGCTCCGCCCGGCCGAGCGCGCACGGCCCGCGGAGCTACGGGCGGGCCGGACCGGGCCCGGGTCCCCCCGGCGGACGGAAGACGAGAGCGCGGGCGGGGAAAAAAGGGGGGCCGCGGCCCCAGGGGCGTTGATACACGGGGGTTCCGGGGGACGGCGGGGCCCGGCCGCTGTCAGCAGAGAACGCGCCGGGAGGGGCCGAGAGCGGCGCCGCCCGCAACAGGTACCGGGCCCCGCAGGGCACAAAGCGGGCGGCGGGGGCCCGCCCCGCTTGCTGGAGCTCGGCAAGAGGGACGGAAACCCGAAACCGCGCGGAGAGCCAACGGAGACCCGAACTCGACCTTCCCCCCGCCCCCCGCGTCCACCACCACCCGCAAAAAGAAATAAAAACCGACAAAACACGCCCCGGCCCGCGAACAACTGCCCCGAACTGAAGCCCCAAAAGACAAACAGCGCCGAGCGCGAACAAAACCCACCGAGCGCACCGGCCCGGCACTCGCACAAACTTTTCACGCCGCCCGAGGGGGGGCGGCTCCCGGCCCGGCCGCACAAAGGGAGTGAGGCCGCGCCGCGAGTCCGCACCGCCCCGCCCCGCACTGCTCCGCACTGCCCCGCCGAGCCCCGCCAAGCCCCGCACCGCGCCGCCCCGCACCGCCGCGCACGCAGCCCGCGCGGGACTCCATGTTTTGCGCCGCTCCGGCTGCGCTCTTACCCCCGAAGCCGCCGCT